ATCCTTGACAACTTCAATCTTTTTTCCATTTATCATGATGTTGCTTATTGGTCCAGTTGTGAGGATTTTTGTTTTATTTATGATAAAGTGTAATCCATACTGAAGGCTGTGGTCTTTGATCTTCATCAGTAAGTGCTTCAAGTCCTCTTTCCTTTCAGCAAGCAAGGTTGTGTCATCTGCATAACGCAGGTTGTTAATGAGTCTTCCTCCAACTCTGATGCCCCGTTCTTCATATAGTCCAGATTCTCAGGTTATTTGCTCAGCATGCAAATTGAATAAGTATGGTGAAAAGATACAATCCTGACGCACACCTTTTCTAACTTTAAACCATATAGTAGCCCCTTGTTCTGTTCAAATGACTGCCTCTTGGTCTAAATACAGGTTCCTCATGAACACAATTAAGTGTTCTGGAATTCCCATTCTTTGCAATGTTATTCATAATTTGTTATGATCCACACAGTCGAATGCCTTTGCGTAGTCAATAAAACACAGGTAAACATCTTTCTGGTATTCTCTGCTTTTAGCTATGATCCACCTGACATCAGTCAATGATATCCCTCATTCTACATCCTCTTCTGAATCTGGCTTGAATTTCTGGCAGTTTCATGTCGATGTACTGCTGTAACCACTTTTGAATGATCTTCAGCAAAATTTTACTTGTGTGTGATGTTAATGATATTGTTCGATAATTTCCACATTCTGTTGGATCTCCTTTCTTTGGAGTGGGTACAAATATGGATCTCTTCCAGTCTGTTGGCCAGGCAGCTGTCTTCCAGATTTCTTGGCATAGACGAGTGAGCGCTTCCAGTGCTGCATCCGTTTCTTGAAATATCTCAATAGGTATTCCGTCAATTCCTGGTGCCTTGTTTTTTGCCAATGCCTTCAGTGCAGCTTGCACCTCTTCCTTCAGTACCATCGGTTCTTGATCATATGCTACCTCCTGAAATGGTTGAACATTGACCAATTCTTTTTGGTACAGTGACTCTGTGTATTCCTTGCATCTTCTTTTGATGCTTCCTGTGTCGTTTAATATTTTTCCTGTAGAATCCTTCAATACTGCAACACAAATCTTGAATTTTTTCTTCAGTTCTTTCAGCTTGAGAAATGCAGAGCATGTTCTTCCCTTTTGGTTATCTGTCTCCATGTCTTTGCATATTTCATTATAATACTTAACTTTGTCTTCTTGAGCTGCCCTTTGAAATCGTCTATTCAGCTCTTTTACTTCATCATTTTTTCCTCTCCCTTTAGCTACTCCACGTTCAAGAGCAACTTTCAGAGTCTCTTGTGATATCCATTTTGGTCTTTTCTTTCTTTCTTGTCTTTTTAACGACCTCTTGCTTTCTTCATGTATGATGTCCTTGATGTCATTCCACAACTTGCCTGGTTATCAGTCATTAGTGTTCAACGTGTCAAATCTATTCTTGAAATGGTCTCTAAATTCAGGTGGGATATACTCAAGGTCATACTCTGGCTCTCATGGACTTGTTCTAATTTTCTTCAACTTTAACTTGCATTTGAGCAATTGATGGTTTGTTCCACAGTCGGCCCCTGACCTTGTTCTGACTGATGATATTGAGCTTTTCCATCGTCTCTTTCCATAGATGTAGTTGATTTGATTCCTGTGTATTCCATCTGGTGAGGTCCACGTGTATAGTTGCCATTTATGTTGATGAAAAAAGGTATTTGCAACGAATGTCATTGGTTTTGCAAGATTCTATCATGGTATTTCCGGCATCGTTTCTATCACCAAGGCCATATTTTCCAACAACCAATCCTTCTTCTTTCTTTCCAACTTTCTCATTCCAATCGCCAGTAATTATCAATTCATCTTGATTGCATGTTTGATCAATTCAGACTGCAGAAGTTGGTAAAAATCTTCAATTTCTTCATCTTTGGCCTTAGTGGTTGGTGCATAAATTCAAATAATGGTTTTATTAATTGGTCTTCCTTGTAGGCGTTGGATAGTATTCTATCACTGACAGTGTTGTACTTCAGGATAGATCTTGAAATGTTCTTTTTGATAATGAATACAACTCCATTCCTCTTCAATTTGTCATTCCTGGCATAGTAGACCATATTATTTTCTGATTCAAAATGGCCAATACCAGTCCATTTCAGCTCACTAATGTCTAGGATATAGATATTTATGCGTTCCAGTTCATTTTTGATGACTTCTAATTTTCCTAGCTTCATACTTTGTACATTCCACGTTCCTATTATCAATAGATGTTTGCAGCTGTTTCTTCTCATTTTGAGTCATGCCACATCAGCAAAGGAAGGTCTCGAAAGCTTGACTCCATCCATGTCATTAAAGTCGACTCTACTTTGAGGAGGCAGCTCTTCCCCAGTCATCTTTTAAGTGCCTTCCAACCTGAGGGGCTCATCTTCCGGCACTATATCAATGTTCTGCTGCTATTCATAAGGTTTTCACTAGCCAGTTTTTTCAGAAGTAGACTGCCATGTCCTTCCTAGTCTGTCTTAGTCTGGAAGGGCAGCTGAAACCTGTCCGCTAAGGGTGACCCTGCTGGTATTTGAAATACTGGTGGCAAAGCTTCCAGTATTACAGCAACACACAAGCCACCACAGTACAACAAACTGACTGACACGTGGTGGGAAGTGGCTTTATTGAGATAATTCACTTCCATACAGTTCACTTACTTACAGTGTACATTCAATGGTTTTTAGTATATTCAGAGTTGTGCAATCATAATCAATTTTAGAACATTTTCATCACCCCAAAAAGAAATCCCATACCCATTAGCAGTCACCCCTATTCTCCCCTGCCCCAGCCCCTGGCAACCACTAATCTACTTTCTATCTCTATGGATTTGCTTATTTGGGACACTTCATATAATGGAATCACACAATACATGATCTTTTGTGATTGGCTTCTTTCACTGAGCAGTGTTTTCAAGGTTCATCCATGTTGTAACAGGAATCAGTACTTCGTTCCTTTTTATGGCCAAATAACATTCCATTGAATGGCTAGACTACAATTTGTTTATCCATTCATCAGTCGATGGACACTGGGTTATTTCCCCTTTTGGCCTATTGTGAACAGTGCTGCTATACATATACTTAGGCTTCAGTTTTCTTCTCTCTAAAATGGGGATAAAAATGTCACACATAGTCCATTCCTGCAGCCTGGAGTAACTCAGAGAGAAAAGCCACACACCAGCTTGGAGGACTGAGGGGCTGTGAGGGGCGATTTTTGCTTTCCTGAGAGGGCCAGGCCCTGGGTCTCTGAGTGCTCCTGACAGTTTGGGGGGGGTTAGGCCAGGAGGGGGCTGCATCCCATCCTCGAGGGATGGCAGCACCAGCTCACTCTCTGGCTCACCCTCAGCCCTGAGGTGTCCCATTGCTGTGTCGTCTGGAGCAGAGGCCTGATGTGCTCAGTGAGGGGGTAACCTGTTGACCCCTGGACTCTTCCAGCCCCACCGGGCAGTGGTTTGGGTATCCCTGGGCTCTGGATCCTAAGGAGCTGTAAACCCACCCTGGAAGCTCCGGGCTTGAAGTGGGGGGCAGGGGGAATGCAGGCCCTGGGCAGCTCAGGGTCCTCGGTGTGGGAGTGGAGGAGTGGGAGATGGGGAGATGGAAACCTGTCACCCCACCCCTCTGCAGCTGAGGACTATGGAGCCTCTTCAGAGCCCCAAGCTCAGCTAAGCTGTGAGGGAGTGCTGCAGGGCCTACCAGCACCATTGTGCAGATGAGGAAACAGAGACCAATGGAAGAGCTCTGCAAGGTCCCACCCATTGTCATTGAGTCGATTCTGACTCACAGCGACCCTGTAGGATAGAGTAGAACTGCCCCATAGGGTTTCCAAGGCTATAATCTTTAAGGAAACAGACTGCCACATCTTTCTTCCATGGAGCGGCTGGTGGGTTTGAACCACTGACCTTGTGGTTAGCAGCCAAGCTTTTAACCACTAAGCCACCAGGGCTCCTTTAACCAAAATCAGCAGCTAACAAGTGGCAGAGCTGGAGCGGAGCTTGTGGTTCAGGGTTGCTTCCCGGCCTCAGTGTGGTGGGCCACCTATTGAGGCTCAATGGACAGCTTGGCCTGGTATGGGAGCTGTCCTCCCCAGGGCGCCACAGCGGCATCTCTTGGGGTTCAAGTCTTGCCAGTCCTCGAGAGGGAGGGAGGGAGGAAGGGGTTGGGGAGCTATGTTCTTTTCTTCAGTAGAGGAACGTACCGGGTGAATTTTCTCGAGGTCTTCCAGGCACTGAGAGGTCCAGGCAGGGGTTTCTATTAATTAACATTGATAATAGCAATTTGTTGGGGATCTACTAAGTGCCCAGTGCTGGCACACACACTAGATCATCTGACCCTCAGCAACCTTGCTTGGTAAACATTACTGACCTAATTTTAGAGATGAGGAAACCGGGCTAAGGAAGACATCCCAAGAGCTCACTATGGGCCAGTAGAAAGTCATTTAATCCTCACAGTAACCTGTCTATGAAATAAGAACCACCACTATGCCCATTTTACAGAGAAGGAAGCTGAGGCAAAAGTTAAGAGTGTTGACAAAGACCACACAGCTAGTAGGTAGAGAAGCCAGGGTTTGAACTTAGGCTGCCTGGAGCCCACACACTTACCCACCGTGTTGGAGCTGTTGAGTGGCTTCCTTGAGGTCACCAAGTTACAGGTGACAAAGCTGAAATTCGAACCCACGTCTGTTGGATTTGAAATAGCTAACATTTGTGTTAAATCATATTTCAGACTGTCATCTGGCCACCCCACCCATTCTGTTGCCCTGGCCTCTGCACTACGGAATTGACCTGGAAGGACTCATAGGTCACAGAACACTTTTGTCTTTCCAGTGAGGAAACTGAGACCCGTAGAGGGACCAGGAGTCCGCCAGCGCAGACCAGACTCACCTGTGCCTCTCTCTCTCCCCTCCAGACGGAGCCCACGGCTGGTGAGGCTGCCGAGCAGGGCCAGGCCGGGCCCTGCCCGCAAGGACGCCCAAGACCTTCACCGGCCCCTGCGCCTGGGAGCCCTCCAAGCTCTCCTGCTGACCCCACCATGACATCGGAGCCCACGTCGCCCCCAGTTGTGCCCCCGCTCCACTCCCCCAAGTCACCTGTCTGGCCCACCTTCCCCTTCCACCGGGAGGGCAGCAGGGTCTGGGAGCGGGGTGGTATCCCGCCTCGGGACCTGCCCAGCCCTCTGCCCACCAAACGGACCAGGACGTATTCAGCGTGAGTACCTGCCCTTTGCCCAGGACAGGGATCCAGCCCAGACTCCCACCCCATCCTCCCAGCCACTGTGAGGAACTCAGGTCCCACACAAGGACAGGGAGCTATCTGTGCAGTTTCAGAAACTGCAGGTATTCATTTGTTCATGCACTCATTCATTCCACAAAGATTTGTTGAGCTCCTGATTGGGGATCTAGTGATGAATAAGACAAAGCCCAGCCCAGCAGCTGCTCACAATCCAGAGGGAATTTGCCATCAGCAGAGTTAAGGGTGAGGACCCAGCCTGGGTGTCAGGAGATGATGTATCAGATGAAGTGATGAGCGAGCAGAATATGGCTGCTTCTTGAAGCAGCGAGCTCCCCCATTTTGGGAGGTAATGAGATCTAGGTTGGACATCCTTCACTCAGAGATCTTACAACAGAAATCCATTTAAGCTTCAACAACCTCGGTAGGGGAGGGTGCTGTACAGAGAGAAAGCACTGGCCAGGAGACCCACTTGCTGTGCAACCCTGGGAGAGCCAGTGGGCCTCAGTCTCCTTTCTGTTGAATGGGGACAATATGAGGACTGAGCGGGTGGTAATTGTGTATGGTTTCTGGCCTGGGAAGGGTCCCAGCAGCCCTGAGGTGGGCTCAGCAGGCAGGGCCTAGGAGGGCTATGGGGTTCCAGGGAGGGGGGTCCCTAGGCCACAGCTCCAAGCCCCCTACCCTATCCCCAGGACAGCCCGCGCCTCTGCTGGCCCCGTGTTCAAGGGAGTCTGTAAGCAGTTCTCACGCTCACAGGGCCATGGCTTCATCACCCCCGAGAACGGGTCTGAGGACATCTTCGTGCATGTATCTGAGTGAGTCCCGCAACCTCCCCATCCTTGGCTGGGCCCGGGCCCCAGGGTCCCCAACCTCAAAAACTGCCTCCCCAGACCTCTCCTCTCGCTGACTGAGGTCTGTGCTCCTGGCACTTTCTCCTCTTCTCATTAGGGGCTGGGGGTGCATGGGAGAAGGAGGGGGGCTGGGCCAGGTGGGAAGGGGGCACTCAGACCCCAGAAGCCTGAGAATCATGAGCTGGGCCCTGGGTACCTACTCCATGGGGCCTAAGAGGACCGAGCCAGCCCCTGGGCCTTTCAGCCTGGAAAAGGCCTCAGGCCTGGGTCTAGGACTGGCCCTGCCCCAGTGCCAGGGATGACCTGGGGGAGGCCACTGAGCTCCAAGCCTCAGGGACCTCACTGCACCCTTTCACATGTCACTGAATCCCAAAAACCACAAAGAAGCAGGTACTGTTTGATTCCCATTTCACAGATTAGAGAGCTGAGGCTCTGAGCACCGAGGGCAGGCCGCAGGGGGCATCTGGGGAGTAGGCGCTGCTGCTGGGCTGAACCCCTCTCCCTCCCACCAGCATCGAGGGAGAGTACGTGCCGGTGGAAGGTGATGAGGTGACCTACAAGATGTGCCCCATCCCGCCCAAGAACCAGAAGTTCCAAGCTGTGGAGGTGGTGCTCACCCAGCTGGCCCCCCACACTCCCCACGAGACATGGTCCGGCCAGGTCGTGGGCTCCTAGGCGGGTGGCTCAGGTGCCAGCTGTCCAGGTGGTGGGAGCCGCGCAAGGTGGACGGGCAGCAGCCAGCCCCGTGTCCCCACTGCACCGAGCAGCCTCAATGTGCACATCTGTCTGTCTGTCTGTGCTTGTGGCTGTGAGCGTGTGCCTCCACCCACCCCCGTGACCCATGACTGTTTGTGAGCTGGCCAGGCACTGGACTAGGGGAAGGTCACCAGGCCTGCCTCTCTGCTTGTCCGCTGTCCCTTCCTCAAACCCCCACATGTACACACAGGACCCTCTCGCCCTCCTGCCCACCGTCCACATATAACTGAGCCTCTGAGAGCCCACGTCAGGCCTGGGCTGGGGCTCGAGAGGAACCAGTGGACCCCTTGCCTCTGTCCCTTTGCCCACTCTCCCCCAGGCCCTGGCCCGGGGGCAGACTCTGTTCTGCTGCTCCTGTCCCCACCCTGGGCTGGGGTCTCCCTGTGGCCTGCACCCTTCCCCTCAGGAGCCAGGCTGGTGAGTGCTTTGGGGGCGCACCCAAAGCACTCACCAGCCTCTGAAGACAGTAAAACGCTGTTGCCCTGGCCTGCCTTCCCACACTCCCCTCTACCCAGCACACTGGAAAGGCAGGGAAGAGGGGCCTGAGGGTGGAAGGGGGTTTTGAGGTTCCCATTTTGCCAGCACTTCCGCTTTGGCCTGGCAGTGGCTCTGTGAACCCCAAGCAGAGGCTGTGTTCCCTCACCTGAGCTGCACGGAAAGGAGGTCTGCGGAGGGCTGGGGGCCCGTCTCCCACAGCTTGGATGGAGCCACCCCCTTGCCCTGACTCACAAGTCCCACTGATGCTCTGCCATGGGCCCGGCCATGCTGGCTGCTGAGGACACAGTGCTTGACAGACACATGTCCCCTCAGGCAGGGACAGGCAGGGGCATCGCAGGGAGACCACTGGCCCTGCAACCCCCACGTTGGACCCTGTTTCCACAGCCACAGGACGGGCAGCTCCACGGCCCCAGTTAGTGCCGTCCTCATCTGTGTGGCTGTCCCTCTCAGGTGGAGTTCCTTTGGGCCAAGATGGGGGTGTACTCACATGTGTGCATTCACTCTTGGGCCAGGAGATGGCCTGCATGGTAGGCCAGGAAGGAGGGGCCCTGCCTCCACCCCCTACAGTCCCCCTAACCAGTTGTCATTGAGTTGACTCTGACTCATGGTGATCTCATGTTTGTCAGAGTAGAACTGTGCTCTACAGAGTTTTCAATGGTTGATTTTTCAGAAGTAGATCTCCAGACCTTTCTTCTGAGGCACCTCTGAGTGAACTCAACCTCCAGTCTTTTCCTAACAGCCGAGCACGTTAAATCATTTGCATCACCCCCTGTCCTCCCAGCTCTGTTCCAAGAAGCACATCACCTGAGAAGGGGAAGAAATGGGGTCACAAGTTCAAGGGAGGGCCTGCCAGGGATGGTGAGCCTAGGAGATCCAGTCTGTAAGTAAAACTGGGGGCTCAGAAGCCAGTGACTGTCTAGGAAGATCCCCAGCCCTGCAGGTGCCCCAAGACCCCAGGGTAGAGATCAGCTAGGGTACCTGCACCCCACCTCTGCCTCCACCCCAGCACACAGAGGCCACGGGCCCAGAGCTGCTGAGATGTGCAGTTTAGTCCCTTAAAACTGGGAAGGGCCCAGACTGCCTGACACCCCCCTCTGAGCTGGGGCTACAGTGGGCAAGGCCGGACGCCATACTGGTGCAGGCTAACTCCTGGGACTGCCCAAGGCTTCCCTCCTGGGAGCAGACCCCCTTTTTCTGATGTGGTGGCATCACACCCTGGGGCTACTGGGGTGGCCAAGGGGCAGCAGCTCTCCCTCCCGCCCCCACACCCACAGCGGGCAGTCAGAAACCCTCCCGAGACCCACCTAGTCGCCCAGGCTTCCTCGTCCTTCCTAACACTGGCAATAAACCCTCAACTGTGGCTCACCCTGACCCCCAGCTGCCTGTCTGTCTGGGCCCCTGTGGAAGGGGCTGGGGAGGTCACAAGAACCCAGCTCTGTGGTGGCTCTGGCTTCCTGGGAGGTCTGGGCAAGTCCCTGCCCTCTGTGTCTGTCTCCTCATCAGCCAAGTGATGGCTGTACAGCATCTGTGACTGAGGCCCAGTATCCACTCAGTCCTGACACCATACCTTGTTCCAGGAACTTTAATATTAATTTGTGACATAAAGTTATCCAGCACACGCGCCGTCCCCACTGCGCAGCACCCGTGGAGCAGGCAGGCAGGGCGGGCTCTATCTCATACCCACACTTACACACGCCCTCCTTCCAGCAAATATGGAAACCTGTTCTGTTCAGAAGGACAAGCAGCAGCTGTGGCCTGGGCTCTCGGGGTTTAGGACAGGAACACTCTGTCCTGGGCAAGGCTAGACCCTGGGAGGGTGGGAGACAGTCCTCCGGGAGCTGACTGGCTGGAGACGCTATGCACACAGACCCTGGCCTCGCCCCATCCGCTGGCCCTTGCAACAGGCACGCATGAGACAGGCCACCTGGCCGGAGGAGGAGGGGCCCTGTCACTCCCACACCAGGGCCAGGGTCTCTCTTCAGCCTGGGCTGAGGGCTCTGAAGTCACGAGGGGCAGATGCAGCCCCGGTCATGCCTCATGGGCTGTCTCTGGGAAGAAGAGCTCGCGGCACCGCTGCACTGTGTCCTGTGGGGAGACCACGCTGTGCCCGACGGTCCGGGGGTCGGCGAAGATCTCAAAGTCGTTCCCACCCTGTACAGAGAGGAAGGGCAAGAAGGCACTGGTAGGAGGGAGCCTGAGGAGGTACCCAGGGTTGAGGCCCAACAGCTGCCCCTGATGTGGGGTCCCTCCTCATGCTGGCTCCTGAGGGCTGCCCCCTCCCCACTGCTCCCTTAGAACCACCAGGAAGCTTGCCACCTCACCCTCGCTAGGCTGCCATGACTTGCTGTGTGCCACGCTGTGTGACATGGGGCAATGTCCAGCCCTCTCTGGACCCTTGCCTTCCAATCTGTGTAATGGGGCTGGTGAGCTCTGGCTATTTGCTGTGAGCCTCCCAGGAGAAGTGTTCTGTCACCCTGCGTCCCGGAGTTGACCTCGGGTGATTTTGGGGTTGGGGCTGGGCTGGGCCACACTCACGGGGCTGGTCTCGTTTCCGAAGAAGTGGATGGTGTCGAAGCTGTCCTGGTCCAGGCAGTCCAGGCAGTAGCGCTTGTCCCAGCCCTCAGGGAACACGTCAAAGCTGATCATGCCTCCTGGTGGGGAGGGCAGATGAGGTGGCAGGGGGCAGCTCGTGGGGTGACCTGGGCAAGGCCCCTTTTCTTTCATTCACTCAACAACCCTGGGTGCCCACTTCATGCCAGGCACAGGGGACAGGGCAGACTTGGGACCCTCGCCCTCATGGAAGCTATGACCCAGGTGGGAGAACAGGTGGCAAACAGACAGGACCCCCCAGGGCCTGTAAGTGCTCGGAAGGAAAAACCAGGCGATTCACTGGGGGGGCAGCCCACCCAGCCCACAGGGCAGGGAAGACCTCTCTGAGGAGGTGACGTTGAGCTGAGACCCAAGCCAACCACAGGGATGGCTGGGAATGGAGTTCCAGGCTCGGGAACAGCGAGACCAAAGTCCCAAGGTAGGGTGTGGAGCATCCCAGGAGATGCGCAGGGACGAGACCACGCAGGCCCTAGGGTCCAGGAAGGGCCTCTGGAGGGTTTGAAGAAGGGGTACAATGTGATCTGTTTATCTGTAAGGAGCTCTCTGACCATGGGGGAACGGGCTATAGAGCAGGTGGCAGCTGGGAGACCAGCCACATTGCTGTTAGCTGGAGCCTGGGAGGAGCACACAGTGATCAGATCCCAGACTCTCTGGACATGGCCCTGGGACTCACTAGGAGACTGGACTTGGGAAGGGAATGGAGAACTCGGGTGGACTCGGGATGTTGGCCTGAGCTGGGTGGACAGTGCGGCATTTACTGAGGCGCGGAGGACTGCGGGCAGGGAACATATTGAGTCTCAGCCTACTCTGGGCTCCCAGCTGCCCTGAGGGGTAGGAGGGGTGGCAGCCTGGCCTTGGGAGGGGTGGGCAGTAGGAGGAGGGTGGCCCTGGGTGGGCTCCTGTGCCAGGCTTCTCAGATCGTCTGTGGGTGGACGTACCTCGTGAGAACCTCAGTCCTTTGCCAGCAAACTCTGTCTTCAGGGCTTCCACGAACTTCTCCCGGATCTTCTCCTTCTGCGGGTGGGGAGGAAGTGGACTGAGGCTCAGAGGGCCCTGTGCTGGGCACACAACTCATGTGAGCTCATGGTCTTCCAAATGGATACCATGACCCCTGCTTTACAGATGAGGAAACTGAGGCTCAGAGAAGGGATGCGCCTCGTTCAAGTTCACACAGCTGAAGTGGCAGAGCCAGGGCCTATGTGGGTGTGGATGGGCTATCCTGAAGGAGGCCTTGGAGTAGAGGCACAGGAGGGAGGTCCAGGGGATGGAACTATCTGAGTCCCAAGTCAGAGTCTACCTTAGGGCAGGGTTCAGCCCTGTCAGCTCTGCTGTAACCACAGCAAACTTGG